GTACGGCTACCGGGGCCACCAGTGCCGCAACAACCTCTACTACACTGCGGCCAAGGAGATCGTATACTTCGTGGCGGGGGTCGGCGTGGTGTATAGTCCGCGGGAGCACCGGCAGAAGTTCTACCGGGGCCACAGCGACGACATCATCAGGTACCGGGGAGCGGGGGCCGCCGCCGTCACCCTGCGAGCTGCTCCCGGAGTTTGCACCCGCGGGTCCCTCTGGACGCCGTGACCGCTCCTGCACGGAGCATCACCCCGAGGGGAATCCGCAGCTGTCTCTCTGGTCCCGAGTCCGCCAGTTAACACGCTGCAAACGCCTTTCCCCTCTTCCTCTTCTAGGGACTCTCTCTCGGGTCCGTGCAGAAAGATCAGGTCCGCGGATCCACCGGGCACCCAGTTTGACGGCTTTGTGCCCTTTCACACTCCATCAAAATTACGCAAACTGCGAAAAGGTTATTTTTGTAGCACTTTATTCCTTTAGATCCTGTGAGAAATTTCTTATTAAATGCATTCTTAAAGCACCCGGGATGGGGGAAATCCTTTACCTAATAAAGGACTGATGGAAGCACAGTAAGCCGTGGGCTGGTCCCGGGGAGCGCGCCCAGGGTGGCGTCCTGGAGGGCTCTCACCTCCTGGCCGTAATTATTAGTTCAGGTTTCACCGCCTGCTAGTATCAGCAGAAACCCCCGGCAACCTCCAGGCAATTCATTGGATGTTAAAATATACACACCTGAAGGCAATTTAAGGTCGGTCTTATCTGAAGAGGCTGCTAAAAATAACTTCGTTGATTTCCAATTCTCTTCATTAAAATACTCCTAAATAAGCTACTTTTGTATTTTTTAAAAAAATTAAATCGCGATTGGGGTGCTATTTTTAGTCTTCCTTGGACAGTATCTCAAAGTTGGTCCCAGTACTTGTTTACATTTCTTCAGTGAGCGGTATATTTGAAATGTAATTTTCAATCAGTGTCTTAGAACTTTTGTGGTAAAGTCAAGAGCTTCAGAAATCATTCTAGGCCACTGATTATTGCCTCAAGCACAGCATTTTTTGTCCTTTACGGAGGAAAACATTAAAAGCAATTGAGAATGTGTTTGTGTGGTGCTCTTGGGGTTTTATCAAAGATTCTATGATTTGGGTTTGGTTACAAAATTTTTTCCCTCATGTATGTTGCACAGGATTTAAATTGGGCATTTCAAATCCAGTAGCTTGGTTCGAAGTCTTGTAGGTAAGAAGCCCTGGTACTTAAATTTCACAAATAAAGTTGTTCTTCTGTTTTGCGTCTCTGTACATCTATAATGTGTAAGAGGGAAAAGGAGGCCTAGGACAAACAAAGGTAGGGCAAGATGGAGTAAAGATAAGAAGAGCCAAAATTGGGATTGCACAATAAGGAATGAGGTGGTGCTATGTATTCAGTTTTTTGTTTTGTTTTGTTTTGTTGGACACCAGAGCACTTTTTCAGATTGTACTTGATGTATTACTTTGAAAAGGTAACTGATAAGTCATTTCGTTTTTCTCAGGCTGGGACTCTGTATGGTGGTGATTAGGGTTACAGACCTATTATAATAGCCTAAATTGCTGATGGAAAAACAAAACTAAACTAAACCCATAGTAATTATTTGTCTTGTTATTTATCCCAAGAGTAGAGTTTACCCCAGTGTCTTGTCTTTTTCCCTAATCCTTTCAAGTCTCTCTTCTTTCCCGTATGTTAGGTCTCCCAAAGTACCAGGCATAGTAGCTTTACCTAATTGCAGCAGCCTTCACTGAAGCCCTGCTTCAGATAATTTAGTCTGTTAGGTTGAATTCAGCTGGTGGAGTAAATGTGAAGGATTTTGAGGTCTTCTCAAGGTACACTTGTATTGTTTTTACTCCTTGGGGGTTTTGAGAGCAGTATAGCACTAAGGTCTTCTGAAAGTAGACATGATTTATTTGGTGAGGTAAATTACATCTTGTTCTTCTGGCAGTAATTAGAAGCTGTATTATATGTCACACCGCTTAAATTTCATAATTATGTTTCAGTAAACTCTAAGGAAGGTAATGCTTTGACTTTCTTTTGGTACAGTTGCACAACTCATACAAAACAACAAACATACTCGAATTTCTCATAGTTGAATACATGCTTATGATTTTATCCAAATGATACATCTTTAATGTATAACAATGAAAATAAGTTTCCTGAAAAGTTTCAATGAGGTAGTAAAATCTGAATCATACAGCATCTTGAAATTGAAATTGGTGGCACAAATTTAATACAATACTAAGAATATAATTTAGGAATCAGTGAAAGGGCTCTGGACATTTTATTTCAAATAGTAATGACAGATCATGTTTGTGAAATATATTGAGCAACTATTAAAACCTCTGAATATTTTTTCAGTTCATTGTTTGACTTGTGAGTATAGAAACAACTCTGGTAATTTTTAAATTATGTCACAGCAGAAGATGTAATGTAATTTGTAATTCACAAATGTGATGCATAGTGAAAAACAATGTTGCTGTGACCTTAGCCTTAGTAATAAAAAGTCAGTGCTGTTTTCATCATCTGTTTTGTTTCCACCTTTGTCTGAAACTTATGTAAAACTTATTGGTCAAATATTACTTAGTCTGAGGATAGAACTCTTCCAGAATGAGCAAATCATTGTCCTCAGGTTTTGAAAATGTGATTGCAATGTTGGTGGTAAAGACTGAATCATGACTAGTCTATCATTTGCTTACTCGTTCTCTGACCATTTTATTATCACCGAGGATTGCCAGTGGTGGTGCCACATGACATCTCATCATTTTCTCAGTGTTGCTTGTAGTTCTCCATCTTCTTTTTGCCATGTACCTGGGAAAATACTTCTCTAGTCATTTATCTTTTAGTTATATTTATCTCAGTAACTGATTTATATAGCAATTAGTTTCAGTGTCAGAAATAATACAGGGCTTTTTGGGTCACTTTTTTGGTCTTTTTCTCAAAATTCTCTAGTTATTTTATTATAAAATCTATAAATCTATAAAATCTATATCTACAAAAACCTCTAGTCTAGATTTAAGACTAAGTTATAAAATAAACCACTACCAGTTTTAGCATAAGATGCACATCTAGATCTTGGTCTATATTTTAAAACTTTTGCCAAGTTGTTAAAAGAATGCGATAGCTTTTTTTTTTTTTTTTTTTTTTTTTTAACTGAGACAGGCTCTTGCTCTGCATCACACAGGCTATAGTGCAATGGTGCAATCGGTGCTCACTGTAGCTTTGAACTCTTGGGCTCAAGTGATCATCCCACCTCAGCCTCCCAGGTGGCTGAGACCACAGATGTAGGCCATGTTACCGAGCTATTTTTTTTTTTTCGTTAACGATGGGGTCTCTGTATGTTGCCCAGGCTGGTCCTGGACTCCTTGGCTCAAGTGATCCTCCTACTTCTGCCTCCCAAAGTGTTGGGATTACAGGTGTGAGCCACCGTGCGCAGCCAGAGTGCAATATCTTTTCAAATTTATTATTCTAGGTACTTCCCATCAGCAAATTTTTGCAAGATTGTTCTTAAGGATATTATTGACAGTTTTTAAATCATCTGTACCAGTGAAGACCATTAGTGGAATATAATTAACTTGGGGCATTTTGTTATTTGATTCTGCTCTCCTTATGGGAGTAATCAGGGCCTATTGTTTATGTATTATGTAGTTGTAGAATTTAGAATGCTTTTTTTTTTTTAAACATAGTCAAAGTGTCTCATGAGTTGGTGATGAGCTCAAATGACAATGCATCTGAAATATTTTGAAAAGTATACCATACTATATGGTTGCAGGTTAAAATAATAACTGTTCATTGCTTCTATGTATAGCTTTTTAAAAAGACAAAATGAAGGGTGTAGAAGCTATTTTCTTTATTTGTGGTAAATGTTCTTTAGAAAAAATACTGACCAAGCCTTATTGTAATCTAGCAAAAGTGGTTTTTGACTGCTGAGTATTTATGGTATAGAAACTTAATTTATTCAATACAAGTCAAAATTGTAATTGGAAAAGCGATTCCAAATGACATTTCCATGGTAGATAGATTTTTTTGTGTGTTTATATGGGTTCACAGTAGCAACTTTTTAAGCTCTGGTAGGAATTACTGGAAACCTACTTGTGGTCTACTTAATGCTTCCAGGTACATGTTCACGATTTCCCAGACCTGGCTTATCTTCAAAATAGTTTGAAGAGCTTTTCACGAGTTTCTAGCCTTTTGCTCAAATGCACGAAGTCAGAATTTTTTAAGGTTGGAGCCCAGGAATCTATTTTTTAAAAAGTGTCTCAGATTATTCTGTTTGGGAAACACATTGCCCCAACCATGCCTAGAATTCTTAAGCAGTTTGAGAAATGGGCACAAACGCTCTCCTCAAACCTGATTCCAGAATTTTCTTAAGCACTGTGCAATATGTAGAAGTAGTGCTTCAAAAAGTATTAGAAAACATATTTAATAAAATGTCCCTGTGCTTAAGTAACTAGAATTAGATGAACGTACCTTTTATTTATAGACCATGTAACAATTATATTTGGTAAGATTTCATTTTATGTGTTGCAATATCAAAATATTTATGGTTTTTAAAATATTGCATAATTTAAGGGATAAAATTAAGAGATATTTTCCAGGAAAAGTAGGAATTAACTAGAATAATAGTTGAAGTTGTAATAGATGTGTATTAAGTATATATTCTTTAGGGATAAGCCAGATTATTAGATTTACATTTAATAACTATTTTCCTTTATTTTATAATGTCTTGTGTGCAAATATGCAGACAATTAATAAAACATGTTTTGGATATACATTAAGGAAAACGTGGAATAATGAATTATTAGAAGCTATTAAGAACTTTTATTTCAAAGTTTTCTCATCCAAGAAATATTTGTTGAGCTTCTGTTTTGTGCAAGAATCCCTGACTTAAGATACTCAGAGTTTAGACACAATCAAATACTCAATGAGAATATGTATATTAGGAATAGCACTAATGTCCCTGTGATATGGTATGTACACGGGGTTATAAAAAGTTCACAATGATGTTTCTTATAGAATATAATACCTAAGCTAAGTCTTTAAGGACAATAGAGAGAAAGGGTCATCAGAAGAAATGAAAGAAGGTATAGCATTCTGGGAAGAGGTAACATTGTGTGCAGTGGTTTTGTGTTATGAG